AGAGAGATGCATGACGGGGGGTGGTGGTAATCAAAACCAGAGCGATCGGTGGTGGATACTGTACAGTAATACGGCAATCGCCGTTGTCCTGGGGGTTTTCTGCGTGATTCACAGAATCTGGACTGTTTTTCACCACGCAGCAAGCCAAGCAAAGCAATTTTCGTCCATGTGTCTGGCCCTTTTTTTTTTTTTTTTTTTTTTTTTTTTTTTTTCCTTTTTCCCTTTTGTTCTTTTCCCGTAGCTCTCGATTTTGAATCCCGCCATCAATACGACACGAGGGAAGTCAATTGGCGTCATGGCTTTTTTTTGTTTTTTGTTTTTTGTTGTGTGTGTGTGTGTGTGTGTGTGTGTGTGTGTGTGTGTTTGTTTTACAGCGTTCCTCCTGCTCTCGTCCTCTCTCCGCCTCCTTTCTCCTCTGTCCTTCTCCTCCTCCTCTACTCCTGCTTCTCTACTCCTGCTTCTCCTCTTCCTCCTCCTCCCCCTCCTCGCACTCTCCTCCTCCTCGTTCTCTTCTCCTTCTCCGTCCTCTTCTCCTCCTCGCCCTCTTCTCCTCCTCGTCCTCTTCTCCTTCTCCGCCCTCTTCTCCGCCTTCGCCTCCTCCTCCTCTCCCTCCGTCGTTGTTGCTGTCATTCTCGAGATCGTCTTCTTCTTCTGTGAAGCCCCTTCGCTTGTTCCGTTTGGCTCGGTTTGGTTCCATGTGGTTGCGTTTGGTTCCGTTTTTGCTAGGTATGCTCGATTTCGCGGGGAAAAGGATTTCACTTGTTGTTTTGTTTCTTTTTGTTCCGTTTGGTTCCGTTTTGACTGGGCCTTTCTTGGGCAGCACAGAGAGAAAAAAACTTGAAAAAAGTGTGAAGTTCCTTTTTGAGATTCTCTTTAGTGTATTTTAACCGTGTTCCATTTTCATTATTAAATAAATAGTACAAGTAAAATACTAAATAGTCGATACCATTTTTTTTTGACTGGTTATAATTTTCCAATTTCTATTATCTCCTCTCTCTCCCCTCTTTCTCTCCCTCTCTCTCTCTCTTTCTCTCCCTCTTTCTCTCCCTCTCTCTCCCTTTTTCTCTCCCTCTGTCCCTCTCTCTTCACGTTTTTTCCTTGCTGCATCGTTAATTCACCGTCACTCTCCTGTCCTTGTCCCC